AGCTCAACATTCTTATAGCATTTGCTCAATCAAAAGGTTCTCAGAAGAAGCCAAAAGGAAGCCCGAAACATGGCCATGGCAAGAGGCCCCTTTTTGAGGGATGGTTTTGCCATTTGGAAGTTTGTGGCTAGAGGCAATTTGGTCAGTTTTTGTAAAAACGGGATTGATTCATTAAATCACTTTATTTGTATTTTTCAACAATTTTTCTTTCTTTTGATCATCCATCCATGTTTCAAGGGTATGATATAAAAGCATGTTATGTTCATTTGTAACCCTAAGCTCACAAGTTATTGAAAAGAGAGTGTTCTTGAGCTTGTTTCCTTAGTGCATGCATTCCCTTCATGTTTGAGAGAGAGGAGAGAGAATATTTGTGTCCCTTAGTACTTTGCCTTGCCCCTAGATCAGCAGCCAACCACCTAGCAACTACCGTAGTCCATAGCCCACTTCAAACCCTAAACCCTTCTTCTAACCCTCTCTACCCAACCTAAGTCCACCATCCCTTAGCCCATTGGCACCATCCCTTAGCCTGAAGGTCCAGCCTCATGAGAAGAGGACTCGAAGCGGCTCGGTTTACAATTAGGTAAACAGTCCCCTTTCTTCTTCTTGTTTTACATCTCTCCCTTCTTCTTCCCCTTCGCTCTCCTTATCACTTCTGGACTGGCAATCACTACCGGTCTGTTACTCTTTTCTCCCTCTCCCTCTTGTTTCTCTTCCTCCCCCACTCGTCTAGCGCGGCAGCATTTGCCGGTCGGTCCATCTCTTTTTTTTCCTCTCTTGTTTCTCTACCCTTCCCCTCTCGCCTGGACCGGCAGGCTGCCGATCCATCACTCTTCCCTCTCTTCTTCTTCCCCCCTTCTCTCCTTCTCTTTTCTGGACCGGTAGTCACTGCCGGTCTGTCACTCTTTTCTCTCTCTCATGTGTCTCTTCCTCCCCCTCACATCTGGACTGGCAACAACCATCAATCCCCCTCTTCTTTCTCTCTCTCGTTTCTCTGCCCTCCCCCTCTCACCTGAACTGTTTCGTCACTTTTCCCTGTCTTCTTCTTCCCCTCTTCTCTCCTTCTCTCTTTTGGACTAGCCGTCACTGCCGGTCTGTAACCCTCTGCCATCTCTCTCTCATTCTCCCTTTCCCCTCATCTAGACCGATAGTCACTACCGGTTCGCCCCTTCTCTCTCTCTTCCCTCTTTTCTTCTTCCCCTCTTCTCTCCTTCACTCTTTTGGATTAGCAGCCGATTTGTCACTCTCTCCCTCTTTCTCTCTCTCTCTCTCTTGTTCCCCTTCCCCCCATCTGGGCCAACAGCAATCGCCAATCCGATCTCTCTATCTCTCGTTCCCCTTCTCCTCCCTCATTCGGACAGGCAGTAACAGCCGGTCTGTCTCTCCCTTTCCCATCCTCTCTTGCCCTCTCTCTCTCTGAATGTTAAGGACTCATAATAATTTAGAAATAGTTGATACTACTCTGAACATAATAATTTAGAAATAATGCACTTTCATCCTTTTTTACTTTGCTAGTTTACCAGGCCACAAATGTGTTCCAATTCTTTCATTTCTTATCCAAGATGGAGCTAGGAAGAGAAAAAACAAGAGGACCCTTCCCATTCTTCAACTGTTTCTTTCCCTTTATTAAAGTTCCCTCTAATTTATAGTCTCCATTCCTTTTATTTAAGTTTTAACACCTCTAATTTAGGGTCTCCATTCTGATGCCTCAACATAACGTTCAACCATCCATTTCCACTGTTAACATATAAAAAAAAAAAAGGGGTATTTCGATCATTTAGTGTATACACAATAGATGCCTATACTGGTTAAGTTAGCTCATCCTCCAAAAGTTTCCAATATTTTTTTGTGCATGTTAAGATTTTTTTTTTTTTCTTTTTTCTTTTTGGTGTAAGATAAGTATGGATGTTAATGGGTCGGGTCTGTGTACGGTTGGTCCTAGCCAAATATACATGGGAGGCCAGACTCAAACCCGGACCCGGACACGGATCCAACAAGGTTCAAACCACCCCCAACCTATGCCTACAACTCGGGGCATGGCACAAAGAATCTGCTGTTATCATAACAATAATAATATAACCTTTATATTATAATAATATTTATTTCATTCTTTCACTAGGCTAGAATGTGCTTTGGTCCTTTTTTCAAAACTTTATCATTCCTTGGGGAAAACATAAAGCCAAAAGTTTATATATCCTAGCGCATCACACCATATATTTACACTCTTGTTGAAACCTATCCATGAAGATATCAGAAGGAAGACATAAAACGGCCGAATCGAACTCTCAATGCATGAAAAAGAACAAACAAAACTAAAAAGACAGATGAGGTATGCAAAAGGTACATAATCCCCATACTATCTTCAAATAATTTATTTTATTTTTTCGGTTTCCGCTACTCTAGGACTCCTACTGCGCCTAGCTCAAGAATAACTTATTGGTTCTTATCAATACGTGGATTATCACAGGAGAGCAACAAGAAGGGCATGTACTTCACTAGAGTGAAACATGAAAATTGTATTACAAAGAAAGAAAGTTTCTAGGGGATTGGCTCAACAAAAGGAGAGCAAATAATTATCGCAACTATACCCCAAAGAGAATTTTTATCATTAAAGGACCGAAACCTAGTGCTGGTCCCCCCCTAAACAAGGTTTTGGTAGGCTAAAAATGGTTCTAACCAGTGGTTTAAAAACGGGATCAGTGACCCAGATCAGATACCTCAAAATTCACTTGGATCGGTGAATCGGTGATCTGGATTGGGAGTCGACCGAGTCGTTCAGATTAAGCCTTAAAAAAAATCCAAAAAAATTATTAAAATTCATTATAGATGTTTTTTAAGAATCCAATAAGAAATATGGGTACTACATTATCATTTTATTTTTTTCATCAATTTGTCAATATTGAGATGTTCTTTCCCCGTTTGAAGTTATGTTAATCATTAAATTTGCATTATATTAAAGAAAAATCATAGAATCATCATTGATAAAATATATAATCATACATAGACTACAATAAAGAATAGATTAAATCGATGAAAAAATGGCCACTAAAATATCAAATTATTGTATTATCTTTTATTTTATTTTTTTTCTTTTATTTTTTGATGACATTATTTTCTTCTTTTTATTTTTTTTAGAAGATAAATTGTTTTTTGACAAGAAATTCTTGTTGTATTATTATTTATTTCAATTTTTTTCTTTTTATTTTTTTGATGATATTATTATTTTCCTTTTATTTTTTTTGGAAGATAAAAATAAAACTTTTTTTTTCTTTTTTATATGACATTATTTTCTTCCTTTTTATTTTTTTTCATGACATTATTTTTCTCATTTATATTATTTTTTCCTTATATTTTTTTGATGATATTATTTTTTGCCTTATTTTGTTTTTGAGAAGATAAAAATAGAACGTTTTTTTTTGTTTTTTTATGACATTAGTATTTTCCAGTTTATTATTTTTTATGATATTATTTTCTTCCTTGATATTATTTTTTATGATATTATTTAAGACAAAAATAAGACACATTTTTTTTGTGACATTATTTGACAAAGGAAAAATTAGTTTTTATGATATTTGACAAAAGAAAAAAAATTAATGCCATGGAGGTTCAAACCTGAGACTTCCCATGTAGAAATCTAACGTGATAACCAACTCCCCGCTACACCACATTTACTATATTATGCTATAATAAATCACTATATTGATTTAACATCTCAATGTTGGGCATTGAGAATTGTCACACATCGAAGAGAGGTGGGACAAACCTTGGGTATATAAACAATTGAACTATCAATTCTTCTAAACGATATGTTGGGATGGGAACCACGTGGGGTGCACATAAAATTTTTGAACACGCGCAACGCACGTGAGATGTATTCAAACGTGCGACACATACAAGATGTATACACACGCGTAGAGTATGGTGACGTCAGCAGCACGTGCGCAACGCACGTGAGATGTATTCAAACGTGCGACACACACAAGATGTATTCACACACGTGGAGCATGGTGATGTCAGCCACACGAGATGTATTCACACGTGTGGAGCATGGTGACGTCAACCGCAACAGATCTTGTGACATCATACTAGCGAGAACCGCTAGTTTATGATGTCATGAGTTTTACACAAAAATCGGCACGGGGTCACCGATTCCCGTGCCAACTCGGGCGAGTCCGTTCTGACTCGCCGATTTTTAAACGAGGGCTTCGCAAGAGCAAAAAGCCAGCAAGCGTAGGCTCGAAAGCCAAGAAGCCAGGGCGCTAACGCTAGCTAGCGCATCCGTTTTCTTCGCTGGCTCGAAAGCAAGAAGCAAGGGCGCTAATGCTAGCTAGCGCATCCATTTTCTTGCTGGGATTCGTTGGTTTGCTTTTTTACCCTGCAAGAGCTGAGCGAGTGAAGTATACTACACGAGGCATTAAAGCAACAGCTTTCGCGCTTGGTGTAGTTTTCTTTTAAAACCACTGGTCCTAACTTTTTGCTTATGCACAAAGTGCCTGCTCTCAAGACTCTAACCCGCGCTCTTGCGTTGGCTACCCGAGCTTTTTACCGACACAAAAATCGGTATAGGGTCACCGATTCCCATGCCGACTCGGGCGAGTATGTTGCGACTCGCCGATTTTTAAACCACTGGTCTTAACCTTTTGCTTATGCACAAAGTGCATGCTCTCAGGACGCAAACTCACGCTCTTGCACTGGCTACCCGAACCTTTTACCGTCGTACCAAGTGATGGCCCCTTATGGAAGGTTCTTCCCTCCTTAAAAACTTATTTTTCCGAGGGAGTTTTACCGTCTTGCAATCATTTTTTCGCGACTTCTCTGGGGTTTTGTTGTATGGGTTAACGGCATTAGAGGTGAGTTTCATTAGTGAAAATTTTAAGCGTTTGGGCTGTGAGAAAGGAGGCAATCAGAGAGATTTGTAGTTGCAAAACGAGTTTGGTATTCATTAGGGACTACTAACTGAGCCGGTTTTCACTATTTTGTTGTGACATCAGTACAAGAGTACCCCAGACAAATGTAACTCACATGTATAGAAGCATATAAAAAGTTTCCCTTGTTTTTTTTCTTTCAACAAGATTTGGATGTACAGAAGGTTTTGAACTTCTGCTTGATCTCCCCAGAAATGTCATTCAACACCTGCAAATTTTGAAGTCTACATCTTACACTATAGGTTGCAGTGGCTCCATCCCGATGACCATGTGAAATGTGGTGATGAGGGTCATCATCTGAATCCCAGACTCACCATCCAACCCATTAATTTGAAAGTGCTGAATGTAGTGACCACAGTTCCCATGTGGTTATGAAGATAATATTATATAGAGCATGTTTGTTAAATTGTACAGACCCCAAAAATGTACTCACTGATACAAAATGAGCCGTCCAAACGATGGAGCCATGTAACAATCTGTTCTGCATGATAATGTCCTTGCTTTTCCTTGTGTCGTGGCATGGATGATTTTAGATTTCTTCAGGGGGACATGTTCCCTGTTTCAGGCATGTGAGAACTAAAGACTCTATCTTTTGCCTTCCTTGCCTGGACCAGCACAATTCAAATTCAGAAAACAACTATCCGTTGATTGGATGCAGATAAATCAAGAGAGAGAATCTCATCCATGTCAAAGTAATCTAGGACTTAAAAGATTGATCCTTAAGAACAGATATCAGGCATGAAAGTTAAAACATGGGTGGCATTTGATTTAAAATATTAGTATATGGAAATGCTAAAACATGAACTGCATACGGAAATTAACTAGAGGACTAAACTTCTTCTTTAAACCTCATGAAACTATGTAAACTAGAGATGCCACATCTTTTGTATAGCACAGTCACAAAAATAGAGACACAATAAGTATTAATTTTCAGGAACCAGACATTGGGTCAAATCAATTTATTTTAAATGAAATATGTAATGTGCAAAAAATTGTAATATTCTGACTAATAAAATAATTAAAAATTAAGATGTTAAGATTAAGCAAGTCAGGTAGTAATTGCAGGGTTGTTCCTTTTGTGTAATTAAGAAGGTGAGATGCTTCATGCTATTTCCTGAATAAAACATGGCTGGCGGATGTAACAGTCATCCAATGAGTGTTAACTTTTCAATCCTTTATCTGATCTTGGTGATTCACAAAGTCTAGGTATTTTAGCAGTTTTTCTATTTTCAGCATAAAATCTTATTCTGAAGTATACTCATAAAAATAGCTGATGAATTTTATTCTAAGAGAAAATCCTTTGCCTTGCTTCTACTTTGTGTTCATCTCCTCTCTCTTCCAGGTTTGTACCAAATTGGAATTACGGCAGGCTCCCTTGCATTGGATAAGAGATTGGATAGCTGTAAAAAACTTTCAAGAACCCAGTTGCACAATCAAAGGCAGATTTGTCCCAAGAGAATTGTTCCCAAAGCAATATTATCTAGTGTTTCAGATTGTGTATTTCTATGGAGTCCCAATTTTTCTTTCCAGCTCTCTCTCTCTCCCACACCTAAATTGGAAATTGTATCAGCCATTAGCAGTCTCTTTCTTGTGCTTAAATGGGAAACTATTTCAGCAACCTTTCTGGCTAGAGTTATTGGTGTTGCATAAATAGTAGTTGAGTATGCCCTTTTTTTTCAGCCATTATGAATATAAAGCAATCATCAACAAAAAAAGAAGATTAGAAAGCATAAGATGACTTACATCTTCTTGCCAATTAGTGCATATAGTTATAGTGGACAGCAATAACACCTGTGCAAGAAGCCCACAAAGAATTCCCATCCAAAGTCCCTGTGAAAAGTCATTAAAACACCACTTTTTCAAACTAAATAAAGTATAACCATTTAGAATACTCATTTTTTAAGGGTAGAAGCCAAGACTATGAAACCTCACCTTACCACCCACATGGAAGACAAATGCCAACAGAATCGAAGCAGGAAGACCCACAACATAATACGATCCAAAATTGACAAAAGCCCCTAGCTTTTGCCAACCGCATCCTCTCGCAATGCCTATGCATAAAATAAAATGAAAGAACATTGATCATTACTCTTACTTGTCCATGCAATTTAAACCAGACAATCGGCTGGAACAAGGTCATGTGAAGGGACTGTTGCCCAGTCCATCTAGGTAGGCTTTTCATTCAAAATTTTGCATTTCCTTTAAAACAAATGGAAACAGTATAGGGATGAACCGATGCATAAGCTATGAAGAATTCAAAGCACTAAAGTCTCTCTCTCTCTC